TTTTCCTTTTTTTGAAGTGTTCCTTCAGACAGGATGGGAGAACCAACCCGAGAGGGAGTGAGAACGACGGTGCTCAGACTGAGAAGAGGTCATGCTGGGGATGACACTTTGGACACGAGCCGAGTACTCTGGGTAAACAGATGAATGATGAAAGAAAGAAGAATGATGAGGAAACTGAAAAAAGGAGATGGGGGGAATGAGGGGTCTGATAAGAACAGCAGAATGAGGAGATAACAGACATTTTCTGTTCGCATAAAAGATGCTTTTTCCTGAAAACAAGAGTGAATCACACATACACACATAAAAAAAAAACAACCAGAAGTTACACAAAGTTGCCTTCACAGTCCCCAAACAAATTACATAAGTGTATTTCTGTTTTAAAGAAAGTAAAAGGTATTTTTAACTCCTGATGTTACAAGAACAAAAACTAGCATTTTGTGCTCCTTAATGTAAAAAGTGTTCTACATCCAAATGGCAGCAGAATGAAGTATTGTTGATTCTGGAAAGCCTCATGTTCGCTATCTGAGGTCATGGCTATCGCACTTCGTCATGTTGACTTTGTTCAATTTCTTGCCATTCTGCAGGATGTCTCCCAGGCTTATCTAGGGATAGTCAACCTGCTGGACTGGAGAGAACACTTCCTGTTTGAGCCGGAGTGACGGGGACTGATGATGTGACATGCAGGAAATGTGATAAGGGCTGAACAGTGTTTTCCAAGAGAGATGTGTATACAGTGCACAGATGATGGCATCAACTCTACTCATCACTACATTATTCTACATTTGCTGCCAATTATGAACTAAATGTACAGTGACGGTCATGTGAATGAGTTTCCATCAGACTCCTTGATGTCCTGTAAAAAATGAACTACAGCCCGTGATTAAGTAGTATCTAGACCCACCTTTAGCAGCAATAGGTTTAAGTAATTATTTGCTGTGTGAGTTTATTAGTCTCACACTTCATTGTGGAGGAATTTTGGCCTGCTTAATTCATTGACGTTTACAGGAATTCATTCTTGCACAGCCCTCTTAAGGTCTCACTACAGGATTTCAATCAAGATTCCAAAGGTTCTGTGGGTGCAAAACAAGCCAAAGTCATCCACCCTCTCCCACTGTGCTTCATAAATGGTATGAAGCTTTTGTTGGTTTTTGCGCGACATGCTGCCATGCATCATGGCCAAACATCCGTCCAAAGGACATTGTGCTAGAAGTCTTGTTGTTTGTTTAGATGCAACTTTTGTAAAATCACGGCATGCCGTGATGTTCTACCCTCAAATTTCCTATGGAAGCAGTAAGGGTGCATTTATTTAGGACTGCAAAGTGTCCTGTAAAAACTTTTCACATGACTGTAACGGGGGGCTGTAGTAAGAGAGTTTGTCAGTTCCGTGCCAGTCCTCATGGTAGAAATTTGGACAATTTTGTAGAAAGAGACAATGTCAGCTGCTGAACTCTTTAGTAAAACAGTCTCTGCATTTTAGAAGCGGTATCTGTCAGCTGTATATAAAACACTAGTTAAAGAGCTTTATGACACATAGTAGAAAATAAAGTAACGCTTTTTAGACAGAAAGCTCATCTTATTTTTTACTTTCAAAGACATCAACAGTTTGCTAAATTGGAAGTATTGGAGTATAAACCTCCACAGACTGTGGCACTTCAAGCAATTTAGTTTTTGTTGAATGTCATATCAAATTGACTACTTCGTGGTTATCGTGGCTGAACAAAAATAGAAAGTAAGTATTATTGACACACATAGTTGAATGTACTGTAGGTCAAGTTCAGTGCCCATACATCAATCTGTAGCAAAGATGGATTTTAACTGGGTTTTTTTTTTAACATGCCAGAAAGAATACAGAAAGCTGTCAGATCATATACAGCAAATACCTTTGAAGATACAACCTGCAGCATTATAATAAGTTTTAAAATCTATACATACATAAGGGTCAGCATAAAATAAACTGTGTGATCTTACCAGCCACTCTTTGGGCCACCAGACCTTCAATGTTAAAGACCTCATCAGGCTCACTGTCTCTTGGCTGGGGTGATGCTGAAGATGCACTAGGGCTTTTCTGGGGTTCAGAGGCCTCTGCAGACTGGGGCAGCGTTGTTGGTGGGTAACTGCTGACCGTCTTGATCTGGCAACTTACAGTGGGGGAGGCTTGTGAGGAAGTACTTGTTGAAGCTGTTCCAGAGGTGTAACTCAGAGATCGTTGGACAGGTGCAGGTTCTGATGTACTAGGCTTCACAGGTGGTGATGAGTGGCTGGACACGGGGCCTGAAAAATGGGTGTGAATGGTGGAATCAGGCAGGTAGGAGGGCCTGGTTTGGTTCTGAGAAAAGGATGGCTGTGTGGTCACTACAGCAGTGTTTTCGCGCAATGGAGCACTTTGGGACTTTGTCACCAGCGAACGGCCTGGCTCCAGGTCCAACATAAGGAGATTAAGAGTTTCAATTGATTGCTCAATCTCTTGTTGCGAGGCGCTGTGGCGATGAGGGAACTGTGGCAGGCTGTGGTGGCTGGGCATGGTTGCAACAGTGGGAGGCGGACTAAAAGTGAGGCCTTCAGTTACTGGCTCTTCTGGCACTCCGAACCGCTGCCAAACATTGAGACCGCGCTGGACGGCATCCCTGCTACTAGTGGTGCGAGTGGGAGCTTGTGGCATTGACTTTGACTCTGCACCAAAAGACTGAGAGCGGTACAGACTGCCATTCTGAGTAGGCATGTAACTACCAGAGAATGGGGTAGAATCACTGTGGGGCAACGTGACAGACTTGCCAGATATGCCAAGCTGTGGTTGGACGGTCTCCAGAGGCTTTTCTGGGACGTTGCGCTCCAGATATGGCACGTGGTCCTGACCATTGATAATGGACTCAGACTGATAGTAGAGATCAGCTGGTGTAGCCCGCCCATCTGTGGAAGAGAACGTCCCAAGGCTGTCAACACTGTTGCCCTCTTGACTGGTAGGAAGCTCATCATCTAGAATGTCGGTCTCACGGTCAATGTTACCATGCCCATTAACATGGACCTGTGCGGGCACCAGGTGAAGCATCCCTCCAACAGCGGATGCCGGAGCTGATAGGTAGGCCTGTCTGTGCATGGGCCCCTCCAAGCCACTCAGTAGCTGCTCTAGCTCCTTTTTCTCTTGCGGACTGATAGACTGTTGGGCAGGTGGAGCGTGTTGATGGACCGAGGGTAACTCCTCACCCACAGGAATGTGTGTCTGGTTCACTGTGGAAGCCGGAGGGGCTGCTGTTGCTTCATCAGTTCGGTCGGTTTTGATAGAGGCAGTAGAGTTTCCTGAGTCGCTGCTCACAGACAAGGCATGGTCAACCGCAGGTAAAGCATGTTCAATAGCAGAGGGTGGAAGGCCGTTCGATGTGACTGCTCCGTCAACAGATTCTTTTTTGCGTACTTTGGCATAGAGGCTGCCATCCAGGGGTCCTTGGGTATGAATGACTTCTAAAAACAAAAGTATGAAAAAGCATCATTAGAATCACATTAAGCCAAATACAAATATTAAAGATGCCTACATTTTCCACAAACCTTAAATTTTCTGTTACCCAAGTATTTTTTAGAGCCACAGCAATTTGCACATTTATTTCTGTAATTGTTAATCTTCAAAATATAAACACATGGGATTCATCAAGACATTAAGAAGAAAGAAAAAGTGTGAGGAAATATCAGAGATGCTGGATATCAAGAGGTTCTGTGGGTATAGCCAAAGCAGCTGCAGTAAAATTAAACACTGGCTCATGTCCACCTATTCTACCAGCTTCAGGAAATGAGCCGGGTCTGTGGCATGTGCTGTGGAAAAAACGATGAAATCACGAGGGTCTGCCTTGCACTTTCTCAAGCCAATTGCATTAAATGTGTCACCTGAGAAATGCTGGCATATCAGCAGATGAACTGGTGGTTAACTTGTTTTTTTATGATCCCCAAAACCGCAAACATGATGGTCTGATATAAAATAAATAGAGCTCTATACACAGCAGATGTAACCTGCCGAGTTGTTTCTGCATAAGCCAAGATTGAAGTGCCGCTGTAAACAAGCACAAACACGTGCGCACACACACACACTGACACATTATATTGTAGATCTACACTCAGCCACAAGTCTAATGAAGAGGAAGTAGGGTGCCCTAAACAGAAAATTTTAGTCATCACTGGAAAAATCTGCCTCACTGAGTAAGGAAGTCCTGCAGGCTTTTTCTGGCCTATGCAACTGAAAGCAAAACAACAAAAAAAAGGCTGAAAACACATGTATACACATGAGCTTACATGCTCGCTTTTTCCCCTCTCTCATCCAGCCAACTCAGTAGCCCAATGCCAACTGAATTAGCAACTTTTTCATGTGATCCGTAACAGGAATCCAATCTTCAAGAATGTAATGCCAACAAAAATCATGACCGACATCCTGTAACACCATTTACCGACAGCTAAACAGGCTTCAGGAGAGTAAAGAGGAAAAACGGTACCTTCTCAAACAATTCCTCTTCCACTGTCTATGAAAGTTCCTCACTCATAACGCATGAATAGGCACGCCCTGATAACAAAATCAGATTTTACAGCTGGAAAAGAAGCTGCACAAAGACGCTGTCTGTATCTCGGTACCTTATAGAGATCTCCATCTCAGCTTTAGTGAATACGGGGCTCTGTAATGGAGCTCAGTGGGTGTACACAAGCCAAGTACTGCAAGGTCTCCTTGACTGGCCAGAGGCAACTTGCCAAGGGAATGGCACACTGTCAGGCTGCTGGTGGAAACAAATCTGGTGGCTCCTGGTCACAAAAACATAGGTTTTCTCCTACTGAGCTGCTAACGAGTTTGGTAGATTTTTGGGGCACATGCAGAGAGAAAGACATTATGGTAACCACTGTTATAGTGTTTCTGATATGGCCCGCTGCAGATTTACAGCATTTGGAGGCTTATATTTGATGTATACAGTAGCAGCAGTTAAGTCAACTCACTGTATCAATACTCAAGGCTGTTGCCATAGTTATTACACACAGTACATACCAATTAGAATAAGTGTTCAGACTTCTGGTGGTTGTTATTCTGTATTATTCCCGTAAGTCTCTACTGAAAAGTTCACTAGTAAAACAGGACACTCCAAATCAAGTTATCATGACACATTTATGTAGCCCATGAAACTACTTGGGTTTCCACTGACATGAGCGCACGCACACATACACACGTGTGTGTGTGTGTATATATATATACACACACACACACTTTTAATGCATCAGTCATGCCGATAAACATAGACATAAGTCATGAAAGAAGAGCCCTCCTCACTTTCTCCATTTCAGTGCCTTTATAATCACCTGCCCGGTAGCCAAATGTGACCCCAGCCCAGCTAATTTGACATCCTCCCTGCCTCAGCTACACCACGTTAACAAGCTAACTCAAAGTTAAGTCACAGCCTTGTCAAAGGAAACGGCGGAAAGACCTCAGCAGGAGGTGGTTCCCCTACCTGTGTGAGCAGAGGATGAGAGTACAGTCCCAAACTAAGCTGGGAAAAGCCCTGCAGAGTTGCCCCCGGGGTGGGACATGAAGGATTACAGCAGGAGTTGGGGGAGTTGGTTTTGGCTACTGTTCCTGCTCCTCCTCTCTTTCCTGAATACCTCGCTGTCTGCATGGAGAGCGACTGCTGCTGTTGCTGGCTGCTCGGTGGCGCGCACTAGTCTAAAGGCTGCCTCTGCTATGTGTGCGCATGTGGGAGGTCTATCACAACAAGCTGTCTGACGGTTTATGTGAGAGGTGGAGGGTAAGGGGCCACTGAATTCCACTGCATAGCGTTTGATCAAATGACATCAGTCCCTTTTAGGTTCTCTCTGAAATGTATGGCTTGTTATGAGTTATGGGCATTTATATTCTAATACATAATATATGACACTTGTCCATGCCAGTTAATGTTATAAATAGAAGAGACAAGCTGAATAACACATTCAAACATCCAGTAATATACGTAGAAATAAGCCATATTCATGCACACACAGATGCCCATCCCTCAGTCCATCAGTGTTGAAAACACTCGTGTAATGGAAAGAGCTACATCGTCCAACAGTCATTAAACAAGCACTCTCAAAGCTAGGAAGCAGGGAGCAAACTCCACCCTGGTGCAGGCAGATGGAGAAAACAGAAAAGAGTAGTGGGTAAAAACAAAAAAAACCCCAGAAGAGCAAATGCTGATGTGATTTATGCAGTTACTGTCCAGCTAAAACAACAGATAAAGAGTGACGCAGATGAGTCACAGTAGCTGTTTGTTATATCTTCTAACCCCAACATGAGAAAAGTGTGTGGTGCATATCACCTAGCCATTTGTATTTATTAGCATGCTGGACAACCACTTTATTATTCCACAACATAATCCAGAATAATGGACAAAAACCACATGTGTCACTCTGACTGAAAATAAAAACGTTATAAAAACGATATATCCACATTTTAGGGCTATTCAGTGGAAGTTGAACTACTTTGAGTGGCAGATTGTCACCAGTTCCCATCTTCCTTCCTCATATCCTTCCTTCTGGTCTGTTCTTTGAGTAATGTTGATGATTGTACTGATTGCAATGACTCCAGCTGTTCCACTGTCACATCCAGTAAAAGCCCAGCATAGTCATCCCTCGGCTTGTGTCTTCACTTTAGACGCGACGTGACTGATCGGCAGTATTTGTACTACAGGAAATCTAATCTGTCACTTTACACTTGTGAGACTTTTCTTAGCCAAGCAGGACTATTTATGTTGAGGCTGCTTCTGTGTGTGCTGCTATGTCTGCTGTTTTCTTTTGGTTGAAATGAACCAATGTGAGCCTCTACAAATAACCTTTGACAGGGCTCCTTCATTTGCTAAGAAAGGGCATGTGTACGTATGACGCTCCACACTGTGTGTGTCCACGCTGGTGTGTTTTTATATAATCCCTGGGAGGCAAATACTTGCTCAGTGATCCCGAGCACAGTACTTGGAGGAGAATATCTGCAATCCAGACCTCTTAGCTTTAACTAATTATAACGCAGCAGGAGAGACTGGACCAAGTGTTACCAGTGTGGAATGACCAATTAGTCTACATCCGCTTCATAGTGACAAGACTGAGTTTGACAAACACTTTATCATGTAATGCTTTAGGAAAAAGCAGGAGGCCGGCAACCAGACCAAACAAAACAAAAACACCATCACCAAGAGATACAGTAGAGTCTACGATGTATAGTACTGTGCAAATGTCTTAGGCCTGTCCTCTTTTCTTCATGTTTTGCTTCTAAGAAGCTAGACATTCGTGTCATTTTTTAATGATCTTAATAGTAATAGTAGTAGTAATACTAACAGTTGTCCAGGATTTTGGATGATCTTCCAAAGTTTTTCTTTGGACATTGTTCCCAATCTTGAGTATATGAAAAATGCTGAAAAGATAACACAGTTTGACGGGTATAAAATTGTATGTTTGCGCCAACAAGGTAATTCAGAAAGAGCCAAAATTGTAGCACATCTCGGGATGATGTGCAGTGTGTCTGTAAGAAATCTAAAGCAGATGAACAGTATCTGAAAATTGTGTTTCTAAGAAATAGGCTGATCCAATGAAGCCTCATCAGAAGTGGTCTCAGTGGCTGTGAAGAAGTCATTCTTAAAGAAGGGAAACAGGAAGAAAACGGCTTGGCAACAGTTTCATCTTTCAGAATGACAATGATTCCAAACACATTGCCAATGCAGTAAAAGCATTCCTGGATAGGAAGGCACACAGCGAAACACTATCAGTTATGCACTGGCCTCCCCAGAGCCCGAACCTCAAAAAAAGTTTAAGATCAAAAGATGGCCAACATCAAAAAAAGAGCTCTAAATGTCCTTCAAGAAGCCTCAAGAAGAATTCCTGAAGACTACTCAAAGAAAATACAAGAAAGCTGTCTAAGAGAGCTCAGGTTGTCTTGAAGAATTGACTTTCACCCCCCGTTAGACCTGTACGAAATCTGTTTTTGCCTTAGATGCAGTATTCCCATGTATGTTTGCACATTTCAGTACATTGCTTTATCTTTTTCTCCACTTTCTTCTGATAAGAAAGTAGCTCAATATTTTTTACAGTACCATATAAAAACAGATAAATGGATAAAAGAAACTGAGAAGACTTGTAGCTAGAAAATGGTGCCAGATATTTTGAGGTTCTGTGGGCCAGATGGTGCAACTGTGTGACCTCCTAATCTCTGAACTCTGAGCTATGACCTTTGTGGCAATTGACCCTCCCTCTTACAGCATGTTTCTCCTCAAGCTTACAAGTATAAACATACATGTGGCCGTCTTGAGAGAAAAAAAAGTCTGTGTGTGGGCGCTGCTGCCTAAACCAGTCAGGATGGGGGAGTCCATGTTTTCTGACTCTAAAGGTTGCACTAATAAAAAAGCAATGACAAAACAATTGGACAATATATTCGTATAGCCTGGTGCCATTTTTGGTCAAAGTTAATGGCTTAACTATTG